GTAACAGAAGTTCGGAGTTTTCTGGGTCTGGCTGGATATTACCGTCGCTTTGTGGAAGGATTTTCGGCAATAGCAATGCCGTTGACTCAATTATTGAAGAAGGAGAATAGATTTGAATGGACACATCAGTGTGAAGGAAGTTTTCAGGAGTTGAAGCGGAGGTTGACAACGGCACCAGTGTTGACGATTCCATCAGGACCGGGAGGATATGAAATATATAGTGACGCGTCGTTGAAAGGATTAGGGTGTGTGTTGATGCAACATGGGCGAGTGGTAGCATATGCATCCAGGCAGTTGAGGCCACATGAATTGAATTATCCGACGCATGACTTGGAGTTAGCCGCAATAGTGTTCGTCCTGAAGATTTGGCGATATTATTTATGCGGAGAAAGATTTCAGATCTATACTGACCATCAAAGCGTCAAGTATTTATTTCGCAGAACGAGTTGAATATGAGGCAACGACGCTGGATGGAATTATTGAAAGATTATGATTGTGATATTCTATATCACCCTGGAAAGGCAAATCGAGTTGCGGATGCGTTGAGCCGAAAATCAAGCATCGCGCATTTAATGGTCAAGGAGTGGATCCTATTGGAGAATGTGCGAGACTCGGAGTTCAAGTTTGAAGTAAGTCAAGTCTCGAGTCTGTTATCTACGTTAAGGATTGAGCCGGAGATCCAGGTTAAAGTTAAAGCTTTGCAGTCTACGGACCCAGAGATACAGAAGGTTATTGAGATGGATGTTACTAAGAGAAAGCCGGATTTTAAGGTATCCGAGGACGGGGTATTGAAATTTCGTGGGAGGTTATGTGTGCCAGACGATGCGGGAGTTAAGGAAGAAATTTTGTCCGAAGCGCATCGCAGTCAGTATAGTATCCACCCAGGCAGTACTAAAATGTACAGGAATTTGAGGCAATATTATTGGTGGAACGGTATGAAGTCGGATATTGCGAAGCACGTGGCTAAGTGTCTGACATGCCAGCAGGTGAAAGCGCAACATTGTAAACCTGGAGGATTGTTGCGACCGTTGGAAATCCCAGAGTGGAAATGGGAGCATATAACCATGGATTTTATGTCGGGATTGCCGAGAAGTCAAAGAGGTCATGACACCATTTGGGTGATTGTCGACAGATTAACTAAGTCGGCACACTTTTTGGTAGTGCGAAAGGATTTCGCGTTAGAACGGTATGCAGAGTTGTACGTGCAGCAGATAGTTCGCCTGCATGGGGTACCAGTGTCTATAACATCGGATCGTGATCCTAGGTTTACCGCCAATTTTTGAAAAAGCCTGCAGACGGCGTTAGGATCCAAGTTGCAGTTTAGTACAGCTTATCATCCTCAGACAGATGGCCAGTCTGAGAGGACGATTCAGACGCTAGAGGATATGCTCAGGGCATGTGTGCTGGATTTTCAAGGTAAATGGGAAGAGCAACTGCCCTTAGTGGAGTTTGCTTACAATAACAGCTTCTAGCAGAGCATTGGAATGGCACCCTTTGAAGCGCTATATGGCCGTGCCTATAGAACACCCGTGTGTTGGGACGAAGTAGGAGAACGAGCTATAACAGGGCCGGAGTTGGTTGAGCAGTCGATCGAGGCAGTTAAGATCATTCGTGAAAGGCTGAAGACAGCGCAGAGCCGTCAAAAGAGTTACGCAGACAGAAAGCGAAGACCTCTGAAATTCCAAGTAGGGGATCACGTATTTCTAAAAGTGTCGCCCATGCGAGGATTGTCCCGGTTTGGTAAGAAGGGGAAGTTGAGTCCGAGATATGTGGGACCCTTTGAAGTGCTAGAAAGAATTGGAGATCTGACGTATCGCCTTGCGTTACCGCCGAATATGTCGCAGGTGCATAACGTGTTTCACGTATCAATGTTGAGGAAATATGAACCGGACCCGACGCATGTGTTGAATTACGAAGAAATAGAAGTGGAAAAAAAGTATCGTACGTCGAGAGACCGATCAGGATTGAAGATCGGAAAGAACAGGTTCTGAGAAATAAGACGATCCCAATGGTCAAGGTTATCTGGGAGCACAACGGGACTGAAGGCGCAACCTGGGAAAGCGAAGAAATGATGCAACGTCAGTACCCCCAGTTGTTTGAATAGCGGTAAGAATTGTAAATTTTTAGTAGTGGTAAGATTGTAAATTTCGAGGACGAAATTTTATAAGAGGGGAAGATTGTGACATTCCGAAATTTCCGCCAATTGGAAATTATGAAATAACTGAGTTTTATGAAATGTGCTCGTAGTAAGTTCTCGCCCGGAACTGATCATTCCTGGGAATGCTAACCATTAGGGAAAGGCTAATAGGGGAATTAAATTCGCGCGACTAAAGAAAATTCGATCGTGAATGGATTTCGACCATTAAATCGCGTAAGTGATATTTTGAGCCACTGTTGGCCGATCCAAGGATAATTAGGGGTCAGTTCGTCACTGTCCTAGTAGTGGATCGCGGGTGATTCCGTTGGACCACGAAACGACTTGACGAATGATTCTGAAATTATACCGAACGATCGTACCCCTCGGGATCAAGTGATTGATCTTCGCGATTTTAATGACAATCGAGGTCGTCACGCACAGAACGGACTCGCACGTGACTCGATTTAGTATCAGTCATAAGTCGATTTCGCGAATTTCCCCAGCAAGCTGCCCGTTAGCTCGAGAAACGCTCGAGATGCGTTTAATAGAATTTAATTATTGAATTTTTGCCCAAATTGGACACCGGAAAATTAGGAAGTCACGCCGGAACATTAGGACGACGTTGCACGTGACACGTATCAATTTTTGGTGCGCTCAAATTCTTCGGAAAAATTCGATTTCGACGAGAAATGGAGAAAGTGACGATTTTGCCCTTAAGGATTTATAAAAGGTTAGTTTTGGGCAAGGGGCATTTTGGTCATTTTTGCTTTAGATATTTTTGGGTCAAAGTTCCTATTTAAGTCTAGATAAGACTCTCTCTCCTCATTCCTCTCTCTTCCCCTTGCCGTGAGTTTTCCCCCTACCGTAGACTCTCTCTCTCTCTCCTCTCTCTCATTCCCCCATTCGGTTCTCTCTCTCCCCCGTGAAATTTTCCCCCACCGTGAACTTCTTCCTCTTCCACCGTGAAGCCACGCCGGCGCCACCGCTCGCCACCACCACCCGGACCGCCCTCTAGCCGCCGCTCGCCGCCATACCAGCCCCAAACCGCCACCACCAGCCACCGTTTCTCTCTCTTTTCCTCTCTCTTTCAAGTGGCCGTGAGCCACAACCAGAGAGCCGGACCGCCGCCGCAAGCCGATCGCCGTTGCCGAGCTTCGCCGCCGTCCCCGCCGTGTCCGATTTAGTGCCGCCGCTTTCCGTTCTAGCCGCGATAGTCTAGAACGCGGGTAAGTCGCGCTCTAAACCCGATTTGGGACTTCGGGTATCGACGGGCGATTTTGGGCGAAATCTGTATAAAGTTAGGTGCGGAATTGTATGAATTGGTAGTGGAAATTTTATGGCGGGCCTTGGGATTTAATTCGGGCATTAATTATTGGAAATTAGAAAATAACAGTGGCTGTGATCTACTGTTCATGGGGCCGTGATGGGCCGATCGGGACGCAAGTTGGATTTTTAGAACCGAGAAATTATGGTGAGAAAGTCCCGTGAAGGACCGGAATCGATTTGACGTCGTTTGGTTAGAGAAAAATAGCAATTTCTGTATTTATTGTGCGTTTGGAATATAATTGAGTTGGGATAGTGGAATTGAATGTGTGATTGTGCAATTGGTTGATTTAATTATGACTGTTGGGTGCACGCGTGGCCAGATTATTTTAATTATTATCATTGGCCATGTTGAATGCTGAGTGAGCATGGGTTGTGTGTAATTGATGCGTGCACGGGCCACATGTGATTGGCCAGTTGTGTATAGTACATACATGTTGAGTATGTGCATGAGTAAGGAGAAGTTGTGGTGTGGCAAGTGATGATGGGAAAGTGTGTGAAAGTGCGAAAGTGCGAGTTTGGGATCGGACCGAGTATCATAAACTCTGGGCCGTGATCACGTAGGTCTGTTGCATTTGGCACAGGCTGAGGCTTGAAAAGGCAAGAATGAGAATCAGTCCGAGGCACGATCAGCTCGGGTGAGACCGGGATTGGACCGAGGCATTATAAGCTCGGGTTCCAATCATGTAGGCCTATCGCATTTGGCGCGGGCTGAGTTGGGATCGGGCCTAGGGCGTGTGATGCTCGGGTCGCGATTGGGGCCTGAGGCGTGAACGGGTACGCGGGCCGGATGTGGTGAATGGTCGCAGTGTACCTAAGGCGTGTACGTCTACGCGGGTCACTGGCGAGGAATGTGGAAAGTGATGATGAGAATGAAAGGAACGCACTACGTGGGGAAATTGCATATGCGTGTGATTGTGTGTAATATGCCTGTTGTTTGAAGATTTGGCGCGTGTGAATGTGCTTTGTAATTGTCTGGAGGTACGTGATAGCCTAGGTTGGGTTTAGGGGTGTACTTGCTGAGATATAATCTCATGGTTGTGTAAACCAACAATTTTCGAACCCCGACCCGAGCGATGAACCCTCCACCACCGCCACCGATGCGTTTTGGAGTACCAAGTGCATACGGAGTATGAGATAGCCGAGTTTCCGATGGGTGACGGGATGACCTGGATAAGACACACGACGACCGTGTTTGTAGAAGTGGGAAAGCTTGTCTTGGATGAGAACCATTTTTGAGGTTGAACGTTAGGTCATCGACTCCTTTTTGATTTTGGTAGTTTCAGTAAAGTGTGCACTGGTAGACAGAGGTTTGTGTTATTGTATATATGGTGGAACAAGTTGAACAAGAAATGAAAATGTATATATTCTCCCAATTCTCCCCAGTTTAAGTTTGTCCGAGTGTTTTATGGTTTTCGTTTGCGCGATTAAATCTCTGATGTTTAGTTGAGGTCGGCGATAACCTGGGACGTCACAACTGTTCGACGGGAGGCGGGATGTCGCGGGCTCGACGGGGGTTCGGGGCGTGACAGTGCCCGTATCAACTGTAGCATCAGAGGCCGCATTTAGCACAGGAGGTCATGTGCTTGATGTATTCCGTAGCTCTTTGACCCCAAGCATGGCGGAGGCTCTTATATGTGCTCAAGATTAGTTACGATCTACGCCACTTTCACGTTCGATTGAGGAGGACTTAGAAGAACTTGAAATCTTTTAGTCAGGTGAAAAAATATGATTGTGGAATTTTGTACCCTTTTATACTTCGATGGATACATTAATTCTCATTTTCATCGTGAATTTAATGCAGTTGCCAACTACAACCATGGAACCAAACTCGGTTTCTCTAGATGATTGATGAAGTTGGAGATTGGTACTTGTTAAACCAATTTATACTTTGTGTTAAAGTGATTTCGCATCATGAGGAAGTTGCAGTTGCTCTTTGTTGTGCTTGCCAATGAATTTGCCAAACGTGATCTTAATGCATGTTTACCATTGTTTTTATTGTTTTTCTGTTTTTGTTTTAAATGTTTACAACTATTTAAACAACATATGTCTCTATGTGAAGATTGGTACTCGTTAAATCATCTCTCTTGCTTGCTGTAAGTTCTCTCAATGAAGTATGGTTGCACATGTAGTGACTGACATGTTGTAACCAAATGCTTACTTCAAGGGATTTTCGGTTAACTATGGATGGATTTTATCACTGCCTGAAATTCACCATGTCCCTGGTATTTGCCAGATAGAACTTAGAGGAGTTGGATGGACCAGAGAGATGATAAGCATGGAGGAGTTGGTAACACTGGGGCTTCGGACACATCAACCGGTCCTGTGATGGCCGAGCACACATTGGTTGACAGATCGACAAATTATGGAAATATGCACAGGGGGTTTCTGCTCACTAGATCTTTTTGTTCAGTCACATGATTAACCCATCTGGAGCCAAGGTAGTTTTGACAAATGGCCACCAAGCTGAAGCGGCTCAATAACTCGTGTTCTATTACGGCCTGATTTTGTAATTATGACTGTTAAAAGCGACAATTTTGTAGCTCGAGTAGATTATGAATCTGTTTTCTTTTCCTATCTATTGAGTAGCTCGCTAGGGCCATTTAATGATTAATATTGCAAGAGAAACAGAGTAGACTACTTGATGCTGATGCTATAGAGAGAAAGGGAGGAACTTTTCATTCCTCTCGCTATCTGTCATTTTGGAATTTCTTCATCCCGGCAGCATTATTCCAAAAGGAGAGTTAAATTTGCTTTCTTTCAAGTTTGGCTTGGGACTTTGTGACATTCACATTGTAGTGTTGATTCTGTGTCGAAGTTTAAGTATGCTATCTTTTTCCTATTTTTTACCTTATACAGCCAACTTGACAAAGATTATAAGTAACTTGCAATTTTTACTATGGCTATTCGGGGTTCACACCCACTTTGTACTGGTTTATACGTTTACCCACGAAAAAAAAAACTCGAAAACCTGGCCCGACCCGGCCCGGCCCGGCCCGATCCGGATTTTCGCTTTGGGTTCTATGTGTTTTGGGCCGGGCTAGGTCAAAGAGAGCATGTGCCCCTTGTGATTTGGGTCGGGTCTGATATCATAGAAACCCCACCAGACCCAACCCATTGACACCCCTAGTGGCTGGACGGCGGCTCCGGCGATGGCTGCTGGTGGTGGCCGAGCAACAAGGGAGAGGGAGAGAGGAGAGGATTCGGCTGAAGCACAAGGGGAAAGGGGAAAATGAGGGAGAGAGTGAAAGAGAGAGAGAGAGAGACTAGAAGGGTTATCATCTTTGGTGAGTGGGAGTGGGTCAACCACCCCACTACAAAGATCAAATTACCCACCCCACTCACACTCTCATCCAAGGGCTCACATTCAAACACACATCACATCCATCAAGAATCAATGGCCAAGGTTGTATCTTGCACAAAATATCTAAGGGCAAAAAGGGAAATGAGCAAAATTGATGGGAACATTCTTGTCTTGTGATTTTTGGCCATACTAGAGGGAGAGGGGGCAGCCAAAGATCATTATAACATTCACTTAATCAAGCGCATTCACAAAATCCCAAGGGCAAAATGGTAATTTTCCACTCTCGGTCCAAATTCCAAATTTCCGACAAATCCAATAAATCTTAAGGTTGGCCACACTTATGTGACGTCGTCCAAATAAATTAGTTGTGACACTTCGAGAAATTTGACATCCAAGTTCGGATTCAAATGACAGCCAATTTCACTTAAATGCAACTTTAGTGTATCTCTGACTAACGGACGGCTTTTTAGGGTTTACGCGTATCAACCTGCGGTTACTCAAGTCATGGCGAACTCGATCGTCACCGAAGGTCGACTCATGATCGAGTTCTTAGATCCACGTACATTTCCCTAAGTAGCCATTCCCTAAAGGTTAGTATCCCGAGAATGATCAGTTCCAGGCGCGATTTAACTACAAATGCATTGAAGAATATACACATTTCATTTATCTCAAAAGTGGGTCGAAATTCAGAATGTCATATCTGTCATCGGAGAAGGGGTATTTTAGTAAAAAAAAAGCATAAGTATATTATTTTTTATTTTGCACTTTCCTTTTATTTTCCTTTTTTCTTTTTTCTTTTTCCTTTTTTCTTCTTCCCTCCCTAGCTATCACTGCGCCGTCGGCCTCAAGCAAGGGTTGCCCTCTCCGGCATCGAGCGAGGGCCGCCCAGCCCGCGTTGAGCAAGGGTTGCCTTGCCAGGGCTAGGTGGGCGAGGCAACCCTCGCCAGATCCGACGAGGGCGGCCTCAGGCAAGGGCTGCCCTCACCGGCGTCAGGCAAGAGCCGCCTAATCGGCATAGGGCGAGGGTCACCTCGCCTGGGCTGGGTGGGGGAGGGCGGTCTCCGCCTGAGGCCAGCAAAGGTCGCCGGCCCCGGCCAAGAGAGGAAAAGGAAAAGAAAAAAATCAAAAAAAGGAAAAAAAAGAAAGAACAAAAAGAAAAAAAATTCAAAAAAGTAAAAGACGAAAATACCCTTTGGCCGGTGAGGTCAGGTTCTTATTTCAGACTAATATCGTCACTTCAGGTCTTTATTTGAGACAAGATCCACTTCAGGTCCTTATTTGAGAAAATAAGGACATGAAGTTGAGAAAATTAAGACACTTTAGGTCCTTCTAAGGCAAGAAGGGAACACATTTTTTTGCAAAGTGGGCCGCCGTCCACTTTCCTCCGTTTATTCAGGGTGCGTTCATTTCGCGAAAAATGAGTGATCTGAGAAATGATCGCTTATATTGTTAGAAAAATAAATGAATGGAAAATGTTTTCATCTACCACGAAATTAGTTAGACATAAATTATTATCGATGATAAGATATTTTCCGTCGACTATTTTTTCTAAACGATATAATTATTTTTCAGAAAATATTTTCCAAATCACTCATGTTCGACGAAACGAACGCACCCTTAATGCATGGGAGCATAAGGCCATGAAGATGGCCATCGCATGCATTCTTTAGCACATCAAAAGAAAGAAACAAATCCTCCGGCGCCCACCACGCTTCTGCTACGCTGAAGATTTAATAAGCAAGTGAAGCATGCTTTCTCTTTTCAACAGCTTCACGTGCGGATTGAGTATTGTATAAGGGCATAAACTCAAGACATATTTTAACGGAATGATTATTGCTTTCTTTTGTAATTTCGAGCACATATGAAATTCACGTATAAAGTTTCTCCGTCCGACATCAATCTTGCCAGATAGGTGTCCATATTAATGAATTGCATTAATCCTTGTTAAATGGGGAGAGCATCGATTATTTTAAAATAGTTCGCGAACATGAACTAACCAATAAACAAATTCAGGGATGATACTGAGCATCAGACACAAGTTCAGGATCTTAAGTGTACGAATTGAAACTTTGGAGATGGCGTTGCACGTTAGAATAAAAATTTATTATTTTTATTTATTTATGTACTTTTATTCGTTTATTTATTTATGCTGAATTAATTTTTTATCAATGCACTTTTATTAATTTATGGTGTTAATATCACGAAAAAACTCCAAACTTGTATACTTATGATAAATTTACCCCAAACTATTTTTTTGACCACTAAAAACTCTAAGCTGGTACACATGTGATAAATTTACCCCAAACTAATTTTTGACCACCAAAAACCTCAAACCGGTATATTTGTTACAAATTTACCTTCCATTAAATTGAATTAATACTTACAAAAATCACAAACTAGTATAAATAGGACAAATGGAGGATAAAACCCTAAATTTATACATTCGTCAACTGCCATGTGTCATTTAATTAAGCAATTTGACACTAAAATTTTACGAAAACTAACAGAGGGTAAATTTGTCATAAATACACTTCATTTTGGGTAAATTTATCACATGTGTATCAGTTTGAGATATTTCGTGGTAATAATCCTAATTTTATGTACTAGAAAAAACACAATCGAACAAAAAGACCATGTAGCCCACGCAATTATTCCGCCATGACCACTTTCGTCCTGACATGTCGTCGTTATCTCCCAACGTCCATGTCTTTCCCTCCTTCTCCCCTGCTACGAACACCCCCTGTTCAGGAACTCGCCAAGAAGGAGAGACAGTGATTGGGGATAAAAAAGCACGCCTCTCACCGTGCGAACACCAACCAACCAACCAGAGCCTCGTCCTCGAGTTCTCCGTCCCACGATTCATTCTTCGCCTTATCACCCTCCGTTTTTCGCACTCTGCTTCATCTGAATTATGTAAGTCGTGATCGATATGCTTAGTGGGTGCCCCGGAGATTGCGGGGTTCGAGTTCGTTTGTGTGACGAAGTGTGTGTGTGTGTGTCACTGATGCTGATCCAGTCCCTTCGGCTCTTTGCTCTGGTTGTTGCCAAAATGCAGGGATGGCGAGTTGAAGCCGATGGATGCGGAGCAGCTGAGAGAGAATGCGCACCGGATGGTGGATTTCATCGCGGATTACTACAAGTCCATTGAGAGCTTCCCCGTTCTCAGCCAAGTCGAGGTTCTTGTTCATTCCCTTATCCTTTACTCTGCACTTCCACGTTATGATTGATTGGACAGTCAGTGAGTGGTGTATGTGTGTGTGTGTGTGTGTGTGTGCGTGTGTGAGAGAGAGAGAGAGAGAGAGAGAGAGAGAGAGAGAGAGAGAGAGAGTGAGATGGTTACGACAGCTATGGAGTTTTTATTACAATTGTATAAGCATCTTTTAGTTTTCGTAAATGGTGCGGAGGACAGATAGACTTGTGTCGAAGTGATAGCTGTTCCTGAAATTTGAGTTGAAAGCGAGGCCACTGGAAACTTTTTGGCTGGAAATCTGAGAGGATGACCATATATTTTTCTTTTCCCTTTTACTTAGCATCAACATACTTTGAAGAGGAGGCAGGGGGCAGGTGCAGGGGAGTGGAGTTACCTTCCCTGGACCCCTGGTCTTCATTGAATGTTAATCCGGTGCGGTGAAACAGTGATCGTGCCATACACTAAATTGCCTATGAATCATTTGTCCACACCACGAGTTGGATAATATTTTTCCCACAGGCGGTGTAACTGATGAACAAAACTTTTCTTTTGTTTCTTTCTCTAAGCACGTCAAGTTATGCTAAGAAAGTCAGTCTGGTTTCTCCATGCAGCCTGGCTACTTAGGTAAACTTCTTCCAGATTCTGCGCCTGACCATCCTGAATCATTGCAACAAGTTCTTGAAGGTGAGGTTCTCCTACTGCTCTTGTTTATAAGATCGAGAGGGGGCATTTTTAATATGGATTCTTAACTAATGCTTGCAGCAGCATTTGTCACTTGGAATCCTGGATTACATGATTCACAAAATTTTAAATGGGTATTTGCGGATTATTATGTGTGTAGAGGCAAACGGAGAGACTGTGTAACACTTGCCAACGGGATAAGTTAGTTAAACTAGCCATTAATCTAAATTAAGTATCATTCTCTCTATTTTGTCATTGCAGATGTACAGGCAAAAATATTTCCTGGGGTGACCCATTGGCAGAGTCCAAATTATTTTGCATATTATCCTTCTAACAGCAGTATTGCGGGTTTTATGGGAGAGATGCTCAGCGCTGGCCTCAACATAGTTGGCTTCAGTTGGATTACTTCCCCTGCTGCAACAGAACTTGAAATTATAGTTCTGGATTGGCTCGCTAAACTTCTCAATCTGCCTGATGACTTCCTTTCAACAGGTCAGTTTGTATGCTAACAATCTTAATGGCGTTAAATGGCCTGGTTTTTATTAAATTACAAACCACATGAAATCATAAAATTGCTTCTCCCCATTTAACCAGTCAGTAGAAGAATCACTTTCATCTTGCTTGTGATGATTGCTGAAGAAGAAATCGAACAAACTAGTTCATCTTTTTTTGTTTCGATGTTAAGGCATGAATAGTTTTCATTTGACATGTGAAGTGTCCAATATTGTCGGAAGTTTTATGACATGGTCTACATCCAATAAAAAGAAAGACATTCCCTGCCATTCCTTATTCCATGCTATCAATGAGAGGCTAGAATTGCATGCCTTTTCTTTTCTTTTATGAGCTTACTTAGCATGAGACCTCCAGTAAAAAATATGGGATATCAGAATACTTCGAGAATATTGGTGAACTTTTTTTTTAAAATCTCTGTTTGGTAACATGCTCTTGGGACCACACTCATCTAAAATCGAGGAAATGACATTTTACTGCATTTTTCTCCTAATAGTTAATTGGACTAAGTCAGATGAATACATTAAAGAGTCATAGAGATCAATTATCTTTGTGAATTGGTAAATGGAACTTGCAGAATTCGCCCTTAAGTTTTAGAAAGTGGCTTTGCAGTTTGTGTAATGATGATTTCTGCTTTCTTATGAAAGGAAAGGTGTTATTTTTTTCCAAAGTTATTTCAGATTGTATGATAATGAGTTAAGAAAGAGGGTCATTAACTTGGTCGTGCGGTGACTCTAATGCATAACACTTTGAGAAATTCATCTTCTGCATTTAAAACTGAAAGTTTCAGCTTATAGAAAACTGTATTGTATTCTAAGAAATATGCCAAATATTTCAAAGACCTCAGAAATCCTCTTTTTAAATGTACAAAACTATGTGCCATATTGGATAGCTTACTGTCAAGTATGATGATGCAGGACCAGGTGGTGGAGTAATACAGGGTACTGCAAGTGAAGCTGTTCTAGTAGTTCTATTGGCTGCTAGAGATAAGTTCTTGGCCAGAATAGGGAAAAGTTCCCTTGACAAGCTTGTTGTTTATTCTTCTGACCAGACCCACTCGGCCTTGCAAAAAGCATGTCAGGTATTCTTGCATGCACTCTCTCGTATATCCCCAGGGATGATATGAGACAATGTCCCCATGAAAGAAGCCAGTAACTAGTTCACCTAGGAGAACCTAATCTCAATGGTTCATTTACTAATAAAGTACTTGATTTACTAATGCATTAAGGACCTCCTTTTGATCTTTAGCTGATATTTGATATTACAACACAGGATAGGATGCTTTAGTGCTGAAACATGAATTGGTCAAACTAGGAGAGTAGATCTGTGAGTCATATTATAATGGATTTGGTTAAATCTGTACGAGGATATCTTGTCTTTGGATTTTAACAGGGAGGCCAAGAAATGTAGGGTTCAGTATTTACGAAGGAAAGGATGATGGGTTTTTCCAAGACTTCTGAGAGAAGTTTTGCAGAAAACTTAACTTTTTCTATTTTTTAGTCTTTAAAATTTGTATTAAACTCTTATACTTTATTTTCAAAAAGTATGCTAAAACAGTTAGACTAGTGTAATCAATTTAATGTACTGGCTCGAATTTATGGAAAGTTAAACATGACTACTATCTATGAAACCAAGCTTTCTTAAGTTTCTACTGGATAGGATGATTTTCTGCATTCCTGTAAGGAGAGCTTTATAGCTTTGAGATATTCCACTTGATTAAACAAATTTATCCCTTTAAAGTGCTGGATTTCTATCCTCGAACCCTTGATGTCGTCAAATATTTTCACCTAAATGTTTCTCCTTCCCACCTTATGCTATTTAGATCTTTTACTACTATTTTATTGGTAAATGAAACACCATTGTGGTCATGAGTGGTGATGCAGAAGACATTGAATGCATCTTCTGCCACAGCATGCACCAAGTAATGGTAGAATATGCAAAAACGGTTCTCTAGATCATCTTTTTGCCTACAAAAGAATATTGACTGGGCAGTCTATGAACTTTTAGCTCGTTGAGCAATTTGTTTCTCATGGCAGATAGGAGGTATCTATCCAGAGAACTGCAGGGTTCTAAAAACAGATGCTTCTACCAACTACGCGCTCTCTCCCGATTTACTTGATGAAATGATTTCTCAGGACATATCCACTGGTTTAGTTCCCTTCCTTTTGTGTGCTACAGTAAGTAAGAAGCTTAACATTATTTCTTATGTTTCTTTTTGTCCATTGACTTCTAAATGCAGCTACATATTAAGCTATGAAGTGTACTGTAGGCTGAGTTTCTATTGGGCTGGTCAAGATAGTAGAAAAACAAAACTTAAAAAAAAAATGCTTTGTGTAAGCTAATTAGGTCGATATTTCTGAAAAGCATTCTTTTCATATGCACAAATTGTATTTTGGCAGCCATATACGCCATATATATAGTATCATCATGAATTTGCAATTATATTACGTGTTTGTTAATTGAACTATCAGTAGATGCAAAGATGAGTGTTTCAGTATGGAAGTTTTAATGGATTCTTCTTGTCCCTTGAGTTGACTTGGTGTGCTGAAGTCTTTTTTGATAAATCTTAGTTGTTAGTTTTTATAGTAGTGACATGACTGAGGCGTGGGACAAGTTTTCTGCCGGGCCTTTTTTTATAAAGAAAATAGTACTTTAACGGCTGGATTTAGTATTCGAGTAGCATTAGTTACAAGTGAAAATTGTCTAAAATAAATATAATGAGAAATTATCTAAAGGTTCAAAATGTCAAATTGCCAAACTAGGTTATGGTAGACTATCAGATGGACTGTTTAGAATTCGTCTCAAACAGGAAGATAACTCAAAAAACGTATACATGGAGGGAAATAAATCCCTTTGAAATCTCAACTTCTCCTTTAAAATGCTTCCTTTCAGTTTTTTAGTTCCTTTGCATCCAAAAGTTTTTGCTCTCTAAAATTGAGATATCAAGTTTCAGACATGCTAAAGAAGCTAAGATTATCCTTTACATCAGATCGACAGGTGGTGAATTCATAAAAGGAACAAGCTCTTTCATTTTGTCTGACTGGTTTAAGTTTCTGTACTTTACCAAACGAAATTTCATTTTTTGATTTTAGCTAATGAATGCTATCTAGTTCTGAATTTATTTCGTGCTTACATACACTAAAATATCAATCAAGTTGAGAATCTTCAATTCATATTCAGGTTGGTACTACTTCTTCAACAGCAGTTGATCCCTTACCTGCACTAGCAACAGTTGCTAAGGTGATGCACCTGACTTTGTATGGTTATGTGCCTCTTATGAAGGTCTTAATTTTGTCTTAAGTTGTTAAACCTGGTTCGAAATGTCTTAAGGATTTATCCAGTATTATACCTTCTTTAAGCTCTACGTATCTTAAAGGCTCAACTCAGTGCCACATTCCAAGAGGTTGAACTTATTGCTCAAAGTTGACCCCGTCATGCAACCTGGCTTCTAGTAAATGAAGCAATTAAGAGCTAGCTTTTCCAAAACTCCTGGGGCCCATGAATTTATGCTGTATTGGATGGCTTTTATAGATAATTGAATCCTGTTTAGTTAGACTAATGCGATTAGCTGGCTTGGTGATCATGATGAGTCGCTTTCGGGTGAAGAATATGCCTTTTGGACAAAAGCCATTTCTCTGTCCAGCTTTTAACTTGGGATACTCTGCATCTCTTTTCTCAATTTGAATTTTTGCCTTGTAATAAGGTGAGAAATTTACTGTTAAACGCAATTGCTTCTTTACTAAAGAATGGATCCAGGACACGATAAGGTGGTGCACCGTTAACCCCTTCCTTCACTTTTATTAACCTTCAGCTTCAATCCTAACTTAACCATTGTTAGTTGAGGTAGCCAGTATCAAATATATGCTCCAAAATTTCACGGTATTTTTACGCTTATAATGAACAATCCATTTATCGAACATAAGTGTACTAGTGTTCTTGTGTAGTATGAGAGTTGAATAGATCAGGGTTTACCTGAGCAATGTTTTATTCTTTTGCATCTGGTTGTATGATTCGTTCATTGTATGACAAGCGCATATGTGAAGAGGAATTTTGTGAATATTTCAGAGAAATGGAATGTGGTTCCATATTGATGCTGCATATGCTGGAAGTGCTTGTATTTGTCCTGAATATCGGCCTTACATTGACGGTGTTGAAGAAGCTGATTCATTCAACATGAATGCACACAAGTGGTTTCTCACAAATTTTGATTGCTCAGCACTCTGGATAAAAGTAAGCCATGTGCTTTTTTCATTGTCATCTGTTTGTGAGATTGATGCTCCTTGTCCTTGTTTGCGTGATGACTCTCCAACATGTCTATATCTTCGTTTACACAGCCCTATTCTGTTTTATTATTTGAACAAAGCAGGCATGTCTAAATCCTGTAGTTAAAGTGAACTTGTCATGCTTAAATTGTCTTCCCTTAAGATTCTATTGGAGACGTCCTTTGATATTATCCACGTTGCTGCTTTATTGCAAAATTAGAAGGTGCTGAACAAGCATTTTGATCGTGATCAGTGGCTAACCACAGAGAAGATTGAACATGCAACTCTTTGAGAACAATATATTCTTTCTCTACTACTGCATGTCCTAGGGAATACTGTGTTTTTCACTCAAATGATCAGTCAGACTATAAATAGCGACAGGATTGAATTATAATTTTTTTTTATTTGGTTTTTCCAATTGGGAAGATATTTATGTATATCCTTTTTAGCATGAGCTTTCAAGCTCTCCTGAGATTTAAGAATCACTGTCTCATCTGTTTTCTATAAGGATTCCTTTGTATAGTTCATCTCATGCCAATGCAATACCACAACTGAGATTGATCTAACTTATGGGTGAAAGTGAATATATTCACGAAGTTCATTGGCAATTTTGTCATCTATGGAGCCACCCATTCCTTTGTTATATAGTCATATGTGCATCTTCTGAATAGATAGATCTTGCCCCATTGGGGAAGGGAAAACATTAGTAGCATCTTGCCTTCATTCCTCCAACAGATACAATCAAGCACTCAAAACTGATTGAAGTTGACATATACTCTGTACGAAACTCTGCCAGAGAGAGGAAAGGTATATGAGATAACGATGGGGAGCAAGGTGGTAAACATTGTTAATAAACAAGTGGCTTGTTTGTCTTGGCATGATTCACCTCAGGAAGATGACCGGCTGTGCATTTATGCGGGTGGTATAATTTTGTTATGAGGATTGAGGAACCATGATAAAACAAAATTTCCCATGTCCAGGCCAATACTTTGGTTGCTAATACTGCTAATCTTGTACACAATTTGCTACACTGAGTTCTCTACATTGTAGACCAAAATTTTTTTCAATCAAGTCATTTTTCATTATCTGTAAACCATCGGCAAAATTCCTTATTGTGCACTCTTTAAGTCTTCCATTGGAATCCTTCTTGGCAATTTAGTAGAAAACTCACTTGTACAAAGTCTTGAAAAATATATGACTTTGCTGATCTTTGACCTCCTCTATCACTATGATTATTCAGTATCTAGTGGAGTTTGGAGAGTGACATCCTCGAGGAACATTCTTTTAAATAAATAATGCAATAGCATGTCATTTGCCTTTATCTTTTCTTTCAAATGCTTTTTGTTTTCTTTATCAGGACAGAAAGGCGTTGATTCAGGCCCTTTCTACCAATCCAGAGTTCCTAAAGAACAAGGTAACCTTTCATGATGATTGATGGGTTACTATGTCCTTGAAGTTTCATGGAAAAGTAGATATAGATTTAGTCTATCATTAGCTTATCACTACCCTCTCTTTTTTCATTATTTCTTTCTCATTTATGCTGCAATTGTTTTCAGAACTTTTTCCTCCAACATTAAGACGCAAATGCAACGATTCACAAGCATGTAGTCTACATGTTACATCTTCGCTTATGTTTTTCATTTCGTTTGTCGTACAAGAGAAAGGGAAATTGCTTTTTACTTCAGAAAGAATTGCATTTTCACCATTTATACTAGGGAAAGTTTTTATGAGTAAGGTACAGATCAAGAGGATCTGCAATTATTCTAGAACTAATTTGATTGAATAGCTCTTAGATAGGTTTCTCCACTACAATTTCCTCATGATTTTTTGAAGCAACTACCATACGTCTTGTGAGACACTAAAGAGGTTTGGTCTTTTCTTATATCAACACTCGGACTATGGCATTCGGCATTTTGCAAGTTTGAATTCTTTTAGTCTCGCTTTTTCCTGATTTCAATTGAATCCACATTCTTCTGGAACTGTTATGCTCACTACAAGATGGATAAGATGGTACTATATATGTCTTATCTCTATTGTGCCATCCGTCTTTAAAGCTAGTAGTGCTGCATAGAATTAACTCAAACTGGAAAATGTGGAAGTATCTTCTTCGTCCTGTTTTACAGCAGACAAGACTATCTGCAGGCGTCACAAGCAAACATGGTTCTGGACTACAGAGACTGGCAAATTCCTCTTGGGCGTCGTTTTAGGTGGATTTTCTCAACATTTTCTCAGCAAGTGCTTGATTGTGTGATGTGCCCATGGGACTTCAAGGATCATTCATGAATGTATTACGTTGTATTGATTTCTTTTGTTCTTTATAGATCACTGAAACTTTGGATGGTTTTACGGCTGTATGGTGTACAAAATCTTCAGCAGTACATCAGAAACCACATCGAGCTGGCCAGACAGTTTGAAGATCTTGTCAGCCAAGACCCTAGATTTGAGGTAATATTTTGTCTGGTTACTGGTGGATGTCTTTCTCATAGAGTGTGGTTTATGTTCCTTGACTAATCTGACACCAGCTACGCATGCCCAAAGCCAGACCTCAATATGTAAACATATCTGCGCACTATGGAGGGAGAGAGAGAGAGAGAGAGAGAGAGCATTATCTCTAAGGCTTAATGTTTTACAAATTATAATATTTTTTTATTACATTGTACAAGCAGGTTGTCACCCCTCGAATATTTTCATTGGTCTGTTTCCGTCTTCTCTCTCCTGACAATGATGGAGATAAAGGAAACAAATTGAACCGCGATCTATTAGATACAGTAAACTCAACTGGGAAAATCTTCATTTCTCACACTGTAAGTTCATTGGTTTTGTCGCACCATCCAAAGATAAGAACGCCCTTCAGCATTCGTGCTTCCTCATAAAGATGAGATACCATGTTATATATCAACTCATGCAGGTTCTCTCGGGTACATACATCTTACGGTTCGCAGTTGGGGCTCCATTGACAGAAGAGAGACATGTTAATGAAGCATGGAAGGTTCTGCAAGATGAGGCATCTAAGCTGCTGGCTACTATTCAAAATAACTAGGATGTATTTGTGCCATAATCTCAGTACTGACTCCATTTATGCGGTGACTACGAGGTTTCTCTTTTACTGGGAGAAAATTCATCAGGCAACTTTCTTTGACAAGATATATCTCGGTTGCTGTCCTGCAGGTACCCAAAAGTGCAAGAAAAAGAGTACTATCTTATTAAATGCGAATCTGTTAACGGTTATAAAGCACCTACAATCTTTTAACGGTGGACCGGCCTCAGTAAAACAGGATCCAGGATCAGTGCTTGAACTGCATAGTTCTTAATAGTAAAATCATTTTACCCATTAAGGATGTGAATGACTAGGGAAAGAAGTCTAAGTTTGATTGTCCGGTCAGGTTCAACCTCTGAGTTAGGTCTTGAAAATTATTTTCCACGACATTCCTTATTATAGAAAATTCTAAAATCCAGGGAAAAAAATCATAGAAAAGAGGGTCAGGCAGAAGAGACAATAAGCAAATAAATGAATCCTATTCTCACAAAAATGAACTAGAGATTTCTATTCCTGATGGGCTGGATTTGCCCACATCTATATCATTTCCATTATTAAGTTCTCTAGGCTCGATCAAATATAACACAAGCCTAGTTGGCCCGACCAAGATGAATTTTCTTATGTCTTGATCAAACAAACAATGCACCTCTTGGTCCATCATATCATAGTTGAATTAGAAGGTGATAGCAGGTGAGGATGGGTCGAGTAATGCTACAGATACTAAGACCGTGTTACAAAATGCGATTACGAAACAGTGCGGCAAATTTTAGTTAGTTATTCGAAGGAGTGAATCAAGTTCAAGAATTCAGGAACTTGCTAGCTTATGTTCTTTATAAACTGATTCTGTAAATTAACTTTAGTACCTCTAATGAGCATTGATGAGATTCGTCCCGTTGGATCTTTAGGGAATCGGGGTATGAGCTAACCGCTCCAAGTGATGACCACGAGTGCTTTCTCCTTAATGAAAGCCAATGAGACATAATTGTTTTCTTTTCATCAATTAAGTCAGAAAATAAAAATTTCCCCCGAAAAAGGTTCATTTTTAGGGCATATGTAGAATAAATCGGTTAAGACAATTGAATCTCAGACACGTGTCATACAATAAGCAATACCTAACGGCGTATCAAATACGAATCCTTTCTTTGACAGTATAAATTTCAATTCGACGATTGCAAATTTGACAATTGTACTTACCCAATAATTGTGTTTTTTTGTTTCCTCGTTTCTATTGACCAGATACATATGTAAAATGTGAATGCATTTCCTCCATTCACTCAATGTGGGGGTCTACTTTAGACTCTAGTTGAATTTCATCCTTTTGAGTTTATCTTCTTTGTTGCCTTTCATTTGGGAGGGCATCGCGGAACAAAATTTGTCAGTGAATGAAGTTATTGCATGTGAAAAACAAGAGCTACCCTTGAATTTGGACGCTCATGTTTGGTGGCATCTACCCATTGTCCTACAATCCATCTTCACCAATCATCGTATACGAAATATTGGGTTCGATGGGCCTCGAGATTGGAAAATCTGCCATTGTTTATGTCATGTAGAAATTATTTATCTGCTGCGTTTTGTCCAAACTACTGTCGCCATGTAATTGCTGGAATCAAGTGACTGAGACTTGTCTGCAGGACAAACACAGACTGTACGAAATGAAGTGGTGATAGAAGGGAACCGAAAGCAAAACTTGATTCACGGCGACCAGAGATGAATCTAAGGTGGAAGATGAGTCGTTGAGTGGAAGCTAAAGAGTTGTTTTTATCCTCATGAATGAAGTGGAGTACCAAGAGAATAAATGCATGGAAAAAAAGATAACATTGTTCCAATGTGATGAACAGAGCCAAGAAGAAGCCTCCGAGTACATATTGATTACTTTGGTATGTTCTTCTTTTTATGTATCCGTTGATCTTGATAGATTCTGAAATTGGACCCTCCTTCCACTAAAAAGGCATGCATGCAAAGGGCATATGTATCATTCCTTGAAGCTTGCTCTTCAACTTTATTCAAGATATTTTCTTTGGTAAAAAAGAAAAACGACTGGTCTCGTCAAGAAGGTATTTGATAGTGGTCATGTCGACATCATAAGCATCATAAGATAACGCGACATATGACGATTTGCACTATTTGGCATAATTGCAAAATGACATTTGCATAGGATATCTTTCGTTTATGCATAACATATTCGCCCAAGGACATGGCCAAACCACAATGCAATTAATTCTCGGATCTTTCTAGAGCATAACTTTTTGAATCGCCCGCAATCAATCATAGTCATCAATCAAGTAGTTATTGGAAGATAAAAGCGAGATTCGCTAACGAGATTTTAGGAAGACCTAAGAAATATCTATTCAGGCGAAATTGGCGTTGCCAGTGGAACCGATAATGGTACAAACTATGGATCTTGAGTGAGATCCAATGTACTGAGAACTATGTGGGGGAATCTATGTTATCCACTTGTAATTACACTAGGATGGATATTGTGGTGTTTAGCTTGTCTTCCTCAATGGGGGCAATGAAGGTATTGTGCAACAGAAGATAGTGAAATATTCCAAGGATGTGCTTTTGGTATATGTGCTTTATCCAAGTCCTAAGGAATAGTTTGGTGCATTTGGTAAGGGAGAATCTAGTTCTGATTCAAGGTCAGTGTCCATGTGATGATGTATTGGGTTCTGAGAATATACCAAGTAGCTGCCTGATGACTATGAGACCGCCATCTGTCTCTCTTACACTGGGTACGTATATGTATATATTGGACAGAATTGATTGGTTTTTGGTATATTTTATATACTTTTCTTTCCTGAGATATTGGAGAAAAAAAACAGGGCGTATGTAAGTAAAGATTCATAAAATACTATTTAATTAAGTACTCGTTTCGAGGACATGGCCCGTATGACTTCCGATGGGGTCATCGGAGGCCTTGTCGACCCTTTCGGTGTAGAGATTGGAGGTCGGACGGCATGCGCAGCATGTCCAATCAAAGCACGACGTCTACAAGTTGAACAGTGTCGGAGGCCAAGAGCCCTTGGCCAACCAGATAGAGATATAGCAGTGTAGTGAGCTCGTAACACCTCAAAACCTAAATGTATGAGGTGGTCCAATAATAACTATTTTCTTTTTAAATAACTCGTGCCCAAATAAGAATTTTTCTGTGGATCGTAACCTTAATAACTCGTACCCAAGTCCCTGAAGTAGAAAAATAAATAACAAAAAAAAAATCTTGTCGAGTCTCGCAAAAGAAAGGTCACAAATTTCACAAATGCCGTGTATTGTGACCAGCTCTATCCGTCACGTCAAACATATGATTAGTGGGTACAATATTCATTCATAATTATCCAAATTTTCATATTTCTTAGCTAACCATCATGGTTCGGAGCATCTTGAGTGTGAACGCGAACTACGTGATCGCTATCGAATGATCGGCGTGGGTGCTTGGAGTTATTAGGAATCAATTCGATCGTCGCACCGACATTAAACCGAATAAAAATAGCATTATCATAGCAAAAAAGAAAAGAAGAAAAAGACAAAACCATATACTTGTTGCTATATAGAAAAGAGGTTATACACTGAGAATGAGTGGGCACGTACAATGGGGACGACCGCCATAGACGTTTGCATGTTAAGCACATGCCTGCATATCACGGACACTTCTTGTGTTGCGTATCATGCTCTTGGAACGGCATGCCGTCTTCTCTCGCCGTAGCTGTGGACGCGTTCGAGACGAAGAGCGTTTGCACAGAAACGACAGCCACGGAGCGCCCCCACCATCTCCAATACACGTCACAGCAATACGCATCACAGCTCACGAGCGTGCTTTTTTGTGTCGTTTTTGCCAGTCGATCCACCCACTACATTCTGGCATGCATTCATAAATAAATTATATGAATACGTAAATGAATAGACAATGGAATAAAGTTATTGGAAAGGTACAGAAAGGTTGGGCACGACACTTACAGAAGCATCATTATATGGTTTTGTTCAGTCGGTTTGTGGGGTTTGTGGATGGTAAATTTTCTTTAGAAATTGAATAGGTTTTTCTGATCTTTGCTTGGTAATACTCGCTTTACTTTTTTTTTGGTATGAATACAGCAGGGAAATTACGAAGACCGTATAGTTCGCGTGCAAGGTTCGTGCAAACGTTCAAGGTCCGTGCAGGGCCGGCTCTCAGAAAGCCTAACAAAAAAACATTCAAATTTTTGGGTGGGGAAATATCATATACATGTATAAAGCATGTAAATCCCTCGTAAACAAGCGACAAGAATGTGAAATGAATCGATGGATAAGAGAATTTTTTTTTTCTCATTTGGAGAGGTTAGCTATGTGCTGGCAAGCAAAGCTAAGCTATCTTCATCCACCTTCATCTTTCCCCTTTTGGAGGATTGGAATCGGCCATTTGGGATGGCTTTTTGCGACTGAGTTCTGAAAACGACACGGTTGTATGTGGTGTGGCTCCCTGAGTGATGCCATTTACAAAATATCTTCCCTATTTTCATTAGCTGATAGGCGTTAAAAGGGAAAAGTGCCAAAAAAGTCCTAAACTTTTTGCATTGGTGCCAATTTAGTCTTAAACCTTTTTTTGGTGCCAATTTAGTCCTAAACCTTTTGCATTGGTGCCAATTTAGTCCTAAACCTTTTTTTGGTGTCAATTAAGTCCTAAACCTTTTAAATTGGTGCCAATTCAGTCCTAAACCTTTTATTTTTGTGCCAATTTAGTCCTTCCGGTCAATTTTGACCGGAATTTGCCCACGTGGACGCCTTGTCGGCCGGCGGCCGGTCACCGCGTCGGCGTGGCAGCCGACGTGGACAACTTTAATAATATTTTAATATTTTTTGAATTTTTATTTTTTTCCTTTTTTTTTTTTTTCCACTTTTTTGTTCCCCCCCTCCTTCCTCGGCCGGTCGCCGGTCCGGCGAGCTCGACCTCGCCGGCCACTGGCGAAGGCGGCGGCCTCGCCCGGCGACGGCGAGCCTCGCCTTGGTCGGGCGAGGCTCGACCTCGCCCGACCTCGCCGATCCGGCGAGGTCGCCTCGCCCGACCATGGCGAGGCTCGAGCGCTCGCCGGAGGCTCGCGGCGAGGCGAGCCTCGCCCGACCAAGGCGAGGCTCGC